AAAAATATATATATATATATATATATATCAAAACCTAGATGAAAAAGACATACAAGATAAGAAAAAGTACTAAAACATTGTTGAACCTATTTATGAAGAGAAAAGAGAATAGAGAATAATTTGTGAGCATATTGTCATATCCATATTGTTAGATAGTGATATTGGGTTGAACAAAACCAATGTAAATCCTTCATTGTGTGAAGTGAACCTTATGAGTGTTATTGTGACTAGGGATGGCAACGGGTCGGGTCGGGCACGCATAGTGCCTACCCGCAACCCAACCCGTTGGATAAAATTGTACCCGCTACCCGCCCTGCTACCCGTTGGATACCCGCCTTAAAAAAATCCGCGGATTTTTTTGAACTCGCGGGTACCCGTTGGATACCCGTTTTCAACCCGCGAATATTTAAAAAAAAATATTTTATAAGTTTTTAAATGAAAAAATCCAAATTAAATTGCAAAAAAAATGCAAATAATATTTAAAACATATATCAAGTAAAGTCAATGGATAAGTAAATAAAGTTAAAACATAGATTCAAATTAATACAAATTAATAGTAAAAATAATTCAAATTAATATAAATTAATTCAAATTAGTACAAATTAAAACTTAAATTCAAATAATTGTTCTAAAAATAACACTGCAAGATTTATGTTTGTTCTTCTACATCTTCATTTTGACCACTTAATTCCTAAAACTAATAAATACAAATAAAGTCATCAATCAATGACAAAGTGACACTATTAATAAAATTAGATTAAAATATTAAAAACAAAACTACTAACATTATCATCAATTATCTCCTCTAGTATTGTATTAAGCTTCATGTTATCCACTTTCAATTTTGAAGAACCTGAAAAACAAAAATAAATTCATTTGTCATAGCCAATCATTTGAATGAATATAAATATGTAATTTGAATTGTTCATTTAATTACCTTGTATGTCACTCCATAGTCAATCTTGAACACACATCAATGCCTCTAAAGTGTCTGGGTGTAATCTACTCCGATGTGGAGTAAGAAATCGACCACTAGTGCTAAAAGAAGACTCAGAAGCAACTGTTGAGATAGGAATGACTAGAAAATCTCTTGCAATCATTTGTAAGATTGGATATTTTAATCCATTAGTCTTCCACCAAATTAAAATGTCAAATTCTTCATCTGAATCTGGTAGTGTCGATTCCTCCAAGTAATAATCAAGTTCTAACCTATAATTTGATGGTTCATTTTTCCTTGCAATCTGATGTTTTGCAAAATCTCTCCTCCAAGCATCTTTTCTTCCATCAACAATTTGGCCTACATTTATGTTCGGATTTTGACATGAAGAAATTGACTTCTTACCTTTCATGTACATTTCATACTCTCTTAACAAGTCCTTCAAAATAATCTTCACCTTTTCAATTTCACAATCAGATTCATTGCCATATATTTGAGGGAAAAAATAATCCAACAAATCAATTTTGTACTTGGGATCTAAGACAATACCTATAGCCATATCACTCCACTGATCACACTCCAATACTTGTTAAACTTTAAAAACATAGATGCATCCATTTGGTGAATAATAGAATTGGGAGAGTTAAGCCATTCCATCAAAGCCAACATAATTTCACATACCTTTGGAAAGAAAATATTGGCAGTTGGATAAGAGGTACCAGAAAACAAGAGTGTCACATCATAAAATATTTCCAACTTTTGGCAAATTTCATTTGCCATTTGCCAATCATGTGCGCTAGGCAAGACTTTATATTAACTCTCTCGTTGTGATAAACGATCAAATACATTTTGGTATTGTATGGCTACTTGAAGCATTAAAAATGTAGAATTCCACCTAGTTTTGCAATCAACCACTAATTTTCTTCTGAATGGAATATTCAACTAAGCACATGTCTCTATAAATTTCTCTTCTCTTTTAGGTGTAGTTGTCCAAAAATTAGCACTTTCTCTGACCTTTTCAATGACATTAGCAATTATGGACAAACCATCCTTCACAATCAAATTCAATATATGTGCACAACATCGCATGTGAAACAATTGGCCACCCAAAATAAGAGACCTAGGTGAAATCTTGTCTAAAATGCGATCAATCATAGCATCATTCGTAGTGCAATTATCAACTGTTAAAGTAGAAACTTTTCTATCTAGATTCCAATCCATTAAACATTCAACCAACAATTCAGCAAGAACTTGACTAGTATGAGGAGTAGGCACATACATAAACCTAAAATTGAAAGTCATATTTTATTAATTTAGTGAAGAAGAACAATTTTAATATAAAAATTACACTTAAAATAGAATATAGTATAGTGTTATTATCTCACAAGTCGACTTTGTGGCCTCCATAAATCATCAATAAAGTGAGCTGTTATAGTCTTGTAGACTCTATTTTGATTACTAGCAGTCCACATATCAATTGTAATTGCAACTCGACTTTGAATCTTTGACAGCAATAATTTTAATTCCTCTTTTTTGGCATTGTAATCCTTCATAATATCTTTTTTTAAAGTGTTTCGAGAAACCACTTTAAATAGAGGTTGTACAACAACACAAAATTCTTTAAAGCCTATGTGATCAACCATTGACATTGGATACTCATGTAGAATTATCATCTTACGGAGTGCATCTCTAGCTATTTGTTGATTAAACACATAATTTCCAACAACTACAGTTTCACCACCTTCTTTATGAGTTTTTAAAAATGATTGCCTGATGTCCCGTGTTGTTTGAAGCTTGCAACTCCTGGAATGGTTTCTCAAATGTGACGTACCTTGTTTTGCCTCACCTAGAAGACTTTTGGAAATAATTGCACATCGCTCTCCATTTCCCATCTACCTTTTGTTTCTTAAAGTGATTCCAAACATCTGACAATAATCTTCTTGAGTTAACAGTAGGAGTTGAACTTTCAGTTAGATTTGAATCTACATGAACATCATTTTGGTTTGAATCTCCTACATTAGGTTCTATAAATTGTCCTTGTTGGCAATCTTCTATAGGAGAAAATGTATCTTGGGTAGACATCCTAAAAAAATTATCAACATAAGTTACTCAGTTTTGTAACTTATTCTATTTTATAATGAGGCTTAAGTAATAAAATATGTTCTCCATTACCAAAAGACTATCTATAATGTGTTCTAACTGTTGAGATTAGGAATGGAGAAAAAGAATTGCAAAGATTTAGAAAACTGGAGTAGTTGTGAAGAAGCGTGGAAGATGAATTGCAAAGATTTATGTGTTTGGAATAATGATGATGGTTTTTAAAATTAAATTACTAAATATATTTTATTTCTTTTTATGTTTTGTTTTAAAATTTATTAAATAATAACCTTTTATTATTACTATTTAATAAATATTTGAACAAGTGTAAATATGAAAATAGTATACTCAATACTTAAAAAAGTATATGTGAAGGAATTGGACTAAAAAAGGTGTCGACGAGCATAATTCCTACCCCTTATATAATGAGGATATTGTTTCACAACAAATTTCATATTAAAATTTCAACAAATTGTCATCAATTTATTTATTAAATGAAAATCACCAAACAAAAGTCAAATCAATGTCATAAAAAAACAAAAGAACTCTATAATACTGTGAAACGTTTACTTTAATAGTTCTTTGTTTGGGAAAATAAAAGGGATTCACGAGACACTTTTAATACACAATGTGTTAAGATTTGCTGAGATATTTTCAAAAGATAGAACAGAGAAGAAGATAGAAGTTCTGATGTAGCAGAGAAAGAGAGGAAATGTAAAATTGTATGTTCTGTGTGTATTAAACTGTGAAAGTATACAAGTTCCTTTATATGCACAGTGAATGGAAACATATGTAGAGCTGTTATTGAGACAATTGTCCACTTAATGTTGTATTGATGGAAACAGATGTAGTGAGGCTTATTTTTCAGCACGCAACTTCATGTGGGTTTAAGAGTAATTGGTCTTTTATGAGGAAATTTTCAGCTAATAAACAGTCAAGAGTTGCCTTGGAGAGGGCTCAAAAAATGATATACATTGAAGCTCATGCCAAGCTTGAAAGGAGAGACTTTTCTAGTGAGGAAGAGAAGGATGTAGAGCTGTTTGCCATGTCTAGTAGTGAGGATGGCATGCTGGCATAAGTTTATGCTGATGCTCCTTTAGTGTAATGTGTTTTTTTTCAATTCTTATAGAATTGTGTAATTTTAGGATTTATCAGATTCTTTCCACAACTCTTATATTATTCCCTTATATCTAGTTGAAAATTTTTCATGACTTTGGAGTTGAAACAGAAGGAATATTAGAAGGGACCAAAAAAACCATGTTGTTAGTGACCATGTTATGATCAGCTTTGATTCTAATGAATCATCAATCTTGCTCTTTTATCAGCATAACAACAATCCAGGAAAGGAGCAAGACAAATGTCTTGTCCCAAAAATTTTATGGGATTTTCTATAATGAGAATGATTATTGAATCCTAGTTCTAATATCAATCTTCGAGATATCAGTTCAAAGACATGTACTTTTTGAGGCTTCCAGCTAAGTTCAAAGACATTTACTTTTCTCTAAATGATAAATATAGATTATGAACTACAAGAGGACGTAACTGAGGTTAAGTAATCAGCAACAACAAAATCAAACGAAAATCCTAAAAATCTCCTCTTGTGCTTCCTTGGATGCTAGGAGGCCAGCAACAAACAAAGCATCAATTTTCTTCTCTACGAAACCCCCAACTGATTCTCTGCTTCTTCTAGCTTTACAGTTGCAACGAGAAATATTCCAGGCATTACGAACCCCCCCAAACACAAAGTAACCTAAACTCCCAAACAAACAAAACACAGAAATCAATCTCATCCCCAAACCCAACGCCCTACCGAAAAGAGGTAATGGAAGAGATTTAGAAGTACATTGCACTGTATGAGACACGACACGACACACATGGAGCTACAAAGAGACACGACATGGCACGCGGATGCAGTATGAGGAAAGAAGCAGAACACATTCATAAAACCTAATTTAAACTGAGGATAAAGATGTAATTTCAACTTCTAAGGGGGTAAGAGGTACCCGCGGGTACGAATAATGCAATAGCCAAACCCGACCCGATAATGAGCGGGTATTAAAAAACCCGCTACTTACTACCCGCGGGTACCTATTACCCGCGGGCACAGGTTTTTTGCCATCCCTAAATGTGACTCTCCTTTATGAGATATTATGTTTAGTGTAATTGTGAGTTCTTGATCTTAGGAGGAGATTGGGATAGGATACTTGTAACCTGGAAAGGTTTGTATTTGTGTTCCTCGAGAGAATAAACTTGTGATTCTTGGAGAGGTTGATGTTGTAACTTGCAAAAGTTGATACTCATTGCTAGTCAAAGGTGTTGATTAGTGAATTTCTTAAGTAGTTAACTTAAGAGAATGAATGTAGTCTCAAGTAAAGGATAACAAGTATAAATCCTTGTATACATTCTTCTTCTCTTTACTCCTTACATTATTTATATTTGTCATAATATGTTTGTGAAAAAATATTTTCAAATTTGTACAAGCTTTGACTGATGTGACAGATAAAAAAATTATTTAATTAATAGAAATTAAAGATTACCAAAATGCCTCTAATTATAAAAATAATATAAAATGATAATTTTTAATGTTATATATAATTGTAAAAAAATATTATTATTATATTTATTATTAATATATATTATTATTATTATTAAAACTACTTAAGTTTCATAATTAGAATTGATTTTCTTATTACACTGGTGCATGCACTTATCCTACATAAGTTATTCCATATATTTTCATATATTGATACAAAGGGTAAGAATGACTTTTCATTATAATCACCTTCAAATCTCCTCTATCAGCTAGGAATGAAATTTTTTTATATCCCCCCAAATCTTCATCCATCATCGCTTCAATATCCATGGAAACGAACATAAAGAAAATTGCAAATTCATCCGCGCAAATTATTATCTACAGTGTATCAGCCTAAAACGAACAAAGCATAAGCGACTTAGGATTTTTTAGGATTGTTGAACAAGACTTGATTCGTTGCACAAATGTGTGAAAACATGTTTGAGATATTTTTTTCTTGTTATGTTTGAAAGATGGACGATGTATGAGTTGTTATCCATGCACCTCACTAATTTTACTCTACACTTCCAACTTTTAAAAATTTTTTGTCTTTGCCCCTTGTGTGTTAGAAGTATAGTGAGAATCTTTAATTGCCTAAGATTCTCTTCTATTTTTGAAACAAACATTACGAAATCCTACACCTCCATCCACCTCCTCTCTCTTTGTCTTTCATTTTCATTATCGCGGTTCGCTGCGCATTTCAATTTGCTTTTCCCTCTCACGCTCTCCCTTGCCTTCTCCCGCTTCTCCCTCGCC